GTGGGACATATGCAGTGGATTAGCGATTCGATTCAATATGGCCGACTGGCAGCCATCTTGTTTTTTGAAAATGTTGTATTTTGGACATGCTTTGTCAGTTGTCATTCAAACTTGGTACATAGATTATACATGTTAGGATACATGTTCATGACTATTTATTTCGCAATTGAATCAAAGATGGTCGACTGGCAGGCATCTCGTTTTTTTTTATGCGGTATCTTGGATGTGCTCTGTCAGTTTTCATTCAAATTTGGCACATACATGTACTTTATACATGTTAGGATGCATGTCCATGACAATTTTTTTCAAAATCTGGTCAAAGCTGGCTTACTGACAGCCATCTGACTTTTTGGCCTTACTACTATATTTTCTAAATTTATTCGTATTTGGCACATACATCATACATATCATACATACACAAAACAAGTGTTTTGATGAAAATAAACAATCTGTTGTATATGCCACTTGGAACTCAAGTTTCAAGAACACGCTTGCGACAACCCCTCCGCTTTAATATGATGAGCACAAAGAGAACTTTCAAAGATTTAACGGGGACTGTGTCAATTTCAATGACTTATGCTTGAATCTCGGCTTGTAAATTGAAATCATGACTGATCATCCAGTCACTATGAAAGATTGCATTAACATTTGAGATCCCCAGTAAGAGTGAAGGAATAGGAAATTCATTCTGCGTCTCATCTAAAATGACCACTGAAAATGATGAATATTAATCATGTTGCAGGTGTTTTTCTAGAAAAAACTGCAAGAGGGCGCACTGCAATTCAACAGCACCACCAAGTGGCAAAAAAAGGTTCTCCCTACCAGGGTGTGGAGTTTCTGATAACTTGATAATTAAAATAGAGCATTCTATGGCTTCCTTGGGGCCAAAATTACTATCAGACAGGTCACAGTTGAAGACTGTGGCCACATGTGATCCCTGGTCAATCAAAATTTTATAGTTGCCAGAGGATCTGCTCCCCAGGGTAAGGGGGCGCATGGCCCATGGCATGAAGGCGCTGCGCCCCTGTTCTCTCGTTTTAAAAAATCTGATGTTGTGCGTCTTGATGAGATGGTGAAGGTGGTTTATTCTGTGTATCATAGTGGACCCTTTCTTGTTCCAAACCTTAAATATTGTGGGACTCTGACAAGGAATCTATTATAATGCAGTCATGAAACTTACAAATGAGAATCAAATCATTGAGTTCAATGCAATCCTTTTTCTAAATGTTCAATAGCTAATATGGTGTTCTGTCTTTGCAGACACGCAAGGTTGGGGTGTAAGTCCACGTGGAGCAGGTTATCTATTTGGTAGTGATGTTGTGGCACAGTTCAATGCAGCCAATGATATAGATATGATCTGCCGAGCGCATCAATTAGTCATGGAAGGTTACAAGTGGCATTTTAATGAAACTGTTCTTACTGTGTGGTCAGCACCAAATTATTGTTACAGGTACGTATTTTTAGACACTCAACAGTATCTTAGCATAACTTGTGGTTACAGTACATTATCATAGTTGTCCCGATTCATCACCGAATGATCAAATATTGGGAGAATATAGAATATCTTCTTAAACTTTTACCTGTGGTACTGGTGAAAATATGCCTTGCTTAGTTACAATTTGTAGAAAGTCATTATAGTGCATATGCTCTGGACCTGTTCCTCCACCTGCAGTTGAAAGTTGTCTATACCGAACGAAAAGTTCTGCATAAATATGGTACATGTGGATGTTAGTGTATGTTTGTCATTTTTCCACTTGCTGTATTTATCCGGGTATGGCCCAGGGTTCTGAACATGTAAAATTGACAAAATATAGGGGTGGGGCCTATGCCCAAACATCCCCTGCAAAAAAGAGGAAAATTCAAAAAAATTGACAACACGCAGATCAAACTGCAGAAGAGAATAGAATGGCAAATGAAAACATGCAATTAAACAATATGCAACATAAAATATAACAAATAATTTATTGCTGATAATGTGACAAACCTGAAATAATAAAAATCAACAGTGAGGAATCATTTGAATGAGAATTTCCCCTCCAACATGCTCAAAACGCGTGAACTCAAAATGAACTTAAACACCAGGGGTAAGATCCATAATTTACCAATTTACACGGTAAAAATTTAAAAAGTTCATAGTTGTTTAAAAAAAAAAAACTTCTCAGATCTTTATTTGTATGTTCATTGCTGTCTTTGTCAAAGTCCAAGTCAGCGGCACTGTCGTCAAACAAAAAATCTCTACATCTGCATTCTGAAGTTCGTTTATGTCGTTGCACGCAATTTAGACTTGGCACTTTTATACCATGGATTTCGCTGTCTGTTAGCTTGGCACATTTAATTCTTGTCTAATCACAATAGACAAAATTGGGGTTGCGGCAAACAATGCTTTTGTTTAGTCTGTCAATCATCTTTGACCTTTAAGTATCTGCTTTACTGTTTAGCTAAAAATGTCAGTCTTCGGCATGACATCCCCGGATGACATTGCAAAATTGCTGGCCCAAGTTATGGATTTGCAAGCTCTTAGCAAATATTTTATAAAGCCAAAACAATGCGATTTCAACAATCTTGAAAAATAAATTATGTAAACAGCGGAAGACAGAACGCGAAAAATTACCTATTTTGCTGTCACAGCTATTTCACGTTCACCCCTTTTATGCAATCAACATTTATTTTTCAACGAACAAAAAATAGGTTTTTGTGTAGAAAACGACCCCTGGGTGTATGCCGACATGACCTCAATTTCTTTATTGTATCAAAATTGGGGTTGGGCGTTTGCTCAGGTATGGGCTCTTACCCGGATAATTACGGTAATAATATGCAATTTGGGTTCCAAGTCTGTGCACAGCCATCAATACATTTTTTTTTTGTCATCACAGATGTGGTAATGTTGCAGCAATCCTTGAATTAGATGAACATCTACAGAGAGACTTTACAATATTTGAAGCAGCTCCACAGGTAAGTCAAAAGAAAACAATTGTTTGATAAGGTAGATGCCTACTCATGATTTCAAAAACCCAGAATTTCTTAATTTAATATATTGTACTTCCAGGCAATATAAGAATATTGACTTTGAAAAAAAATGGGGGTCACCAGGTTAATTTACGAGAAAATCATGGTTGTATTTTAGTGGATAGCGGCCATTTTGGCAGTATTATAGTGCTTTTACCATAGGTTCCTATGGCAGAGATATTATGCCATATCTCAAATTGTAGGCTGGTGACATAGGCTGAAAAAATAATATATTGTTTATGATGGCTTACTTTTTGTTTTCCTGAATTTTTTCAAAAATCTGGGTTTTAGTGTTGAAAAAAGGCAATTTTTGTTTAACATTGCGCTCTATGGAATTGTTCTAAAAATAGCTATTTTTGAAAAAAATTAGTGCAAGTTTCTTAAAATGTGTCACTGTAACACACAATAGAATGCTATTTTATGGTGCCATGGGACAATAGTTTCATGATTTCACATAATAAACCAATGAACATTGTCATGCGATTTATGACAAGATTTCTCAAAAAATGAGTAGGCTTCTACCTTAATTACAGTAGTATCATGATTGTTGGATTGTTTGATATGAAGGCTCTGTCACATGAAATGTGGCTTCTGGTGCAAAATGCTTTACCTGTAGTGTCAGCAATCAGCACATTCAGTGAAGGGAACTGTTTCATACAAAACAAATTTGAGTGAATATGTAATCTCGTAATAATCTTTAATTTCTTGCATGTTTCTTTTTTGCAGGAAACTAGAGGAATCCCAGCTAAGAAACCACAGGCAGACTACTTCCTCTGAAAATCCTTCTCTTCTGTACACATAGGTGGTACACCCTCAGTAGATATCAGTAATTGAAATGAAAATAGCATCAAGAAAATAAGAAAACATTTTCTTGTCTTGGGAAATTGGGAGTAACTGCCAAGCACGCTATTTTGTATTTGAACGATACTTGCCCTTGTCAAAGACTTTAGCTATCTCTGTGTACATTTTAAGAACTGTTTTTATAATATATATATTATGTCGTTTAGTTTTTGTCATGGGCTTGTGAAACAATGCTCCTGTATGAAGGATTTACAGAAATGGCCTTTGTAAAAGCTACATTTTAAAGAATTAAAAAAAAAACCTACCTTGTTGTGAAACTGTTGAAGCAATGCTTATTTGTCTGACAAACTATCGTGATTACATTCTGCATAAAGTTATTGTGATAGCTTTTCCTCCCCTCAGTTTTTGACATTTGCTTAAATTAAGTGAACTGTGAATTTCCACAATAACAAAGTACTTCTGAGGCTCCAGTATCTTATTGTATAAGCACAGCAACGTGTACTGTTGGATAGTGTTTTTTGATGTATAGTAGATGGACCAATTCATTTAGTAAGGGCTTTGTAAATATTGCAAAAAAAATCAAATAAACTTTTAAAAAAAATTCGCATTACTTTATTTGTACTTAGCTTACCTGATTACAGTGGTCCAAATTTGGTAATGAAATTATATTGTTAGTTTGTATGTTGTAAATGTCCAAGTGATAAAATTGCGGGTAACATGCATATCTAAGGGATTTTAAAAAACTGAAAGAAAGAAAAAAAAAAACTTTTAGTAATACTTAATGTATAGCATATCATGTTGACTATTTTACACCAACCATACCTACCATGTTCACTGTCCATGTGGGTGTACCATTATTTGCGGGGTGGTATGTTTAAATTTGTTGGAAAATTTTGTTAGTTTGTTTACAGAGTAAATAAGCCCATATCAACATTTTATTGATATTTTTGTTCAAAAATCTGTTATATTTTGAAAATTTGTCTTTTTTTTTTTTTTTTGAAGAGTATCTTTGTTCTGATTCTAGTCCAGCCCAGCCACCACTAGCAGAAAGTTTATTCTCAATTAGATGTACCGGTACACCGCCTATGTTTAAAAGCATATGCATAAATGCACCCCTAATTTTGTGCCCTCGGTTTCATAAAACATTTTTCCATAAATAAATGTGCTTGTTTCAGTTTAATGTGCTAAAACGCCAGTTTCTTTATTCTATCCATTTGTGTTGTCAGTATTTTGCCAGTCTTCTATAATTGAGATGTAATTTTTGTGTCAAAAATAATTTTCCATTTTAGGGTCCAACTATGTACATGCATATTTTACATCATGCACGTTCAAATAAAAAGAATGATCGACCGACCGACATGCTTGTGCAGTGTATCGTTTAGCACCGATCTTGTTCAAAGCTTTTGACGAGTTGAGTGATGTGCATAATGCAATGGTAATCGTTGCCAGCCAGGGTTAGTTTATTTGGCCATCTCTTCACCACTGTACATTGGAAGATTCTATTCAGCCATCATGTATTATAGTGCGCCCTCTAACAAGTTTTTTTCCAGTCAAATGGCTACAGTGGATTTCCTCACTTGAAGGCTGAAAATTCAAATATTTTACTCGCCCACCCCACATTTTTCATAATCTAAACTACACAATTAAAAAATAGTTGTAAAATGTGACCAGTGTTTGTGCTCACAAAACTGATTCAGACAATGCAGTTGGATATTTCTTGCCAATAGAACATCACAGATCATTAATTTTCAGCACACAGGATTTTTTTTGGCGAACTGTAAAATACTTTATTTTTGCTGAAAAGACTTTTTGGCTTTTTTGTATGGAATTTATTTTTCACTGACTATTGCCGAGTTGAATGTAAAATATAGGAAAAAGGTATATTCGCTGGATTTTATTTTCACTGAATCATCCCTTCAGCATGAATAGAGAAAATGAAGTATTACAAAATCACCCCTGCACTATTTCACTTGTTGAATATTGTGTACGATTTAGTTCGGATCAGTACAACTGGTGAATGACTACTTAATGTGTGGCTAGAGTTACTCAAAATTGTTTCATAGACTATACAGCTTCAAAGCAACAGTAGCGAATTTTGAACATGTTTAAATCTACATAAAGATGACCAAATCTTGCCGAAATGTTTTAGGCACAATTGCGTGAACAAGGTGACCATACCCAAAACATTATCAGTCGCGAGATGAGAATCACTGCATGAAATGGTTAAAATGCAGAGTGCACCATCCAATGTATTGGACTGTATTAACGACAAATACAAGGAAATTTAATAGTGTATAAATGGTAATTACACTGTTAATACCAACCTTGTATGTATTTGTACCTTTTACCTTGCTCGTATCATCAAAGATGGAAGGGAAAGATATATTAATGGAAAAAATTTGTCTGCAGCGGCATACATTTTTTCAAACTTGGTCACCTAATTCATCAGTATAAAGTCTTCCCTGAGTTTGAACAACAGATGTCCTGTATGAAAATGTGCAAAAATTGAGAAAATCTGATAAAATATTTTGACTGTTTCTACTTGACTGGTGATATTCAAAGATCGCAGTGGAAATATGTATTCACTTATTTTGTAATAACATTGGTAATGTATCATCCAAATCCCATGGAATACAAGACTGGGTTCAAATGTCAACTCGTGGAGAGAGTTGTTGCAGTCTGATACACATTTACAAACCTACCAATAAAATCTTAACAGAAAAGATGTCAGATAATCTATATAAGCATTCCTATGAATTGGGTGCCAAACTTTTGATCAAGATCTGAAGCCAATGGAAAATCAGTTTAGTCCAAAGTTATCAAAACAATGCAAAAATACATAAAAAGCAAAACTAGCATCCACATTTTGAAAGGAAAATTGTACCCAAAATTAGGTATTCTGTATTTGACACGGTTCATTCGAAAAAAGCACTTTTTTGTTGAACTATATACATTTTTAAAATCAAAATTCACAGGAAATTGTTTCAGCTTTTAGAACAGAATTATACAGCTTTTATAATACTAATTTAAAAACTCGCTTCAAAATCAAAGAACAAAGATTGCATTGTTTGAAGATGTAGATTCTCAGTATGCAACAGTACTGTTGAGTTCTCTCTTCACTGGACACCAACCAACTATTTAAGTTTATTTGCATACAAAGCAACATGATAGCTATTCATAGGGGGCGTTTTTTTCATACAATGAATGTAATAAGGCAATTCATACTTGTCTCAGTAAATCATTATTTTTTTCAATCCTAAAAATTAATGTTCGGCAAAATTAATTATGATAAAGGAGATAATATTATATAACATGGGGCAAGGTTCCCAGAGTTCAACTATGTTTTATACAGGCAAATTACTTGTCCTCTATTAGTCTATATTCATTGTTAAAACACGACTGTATCTGTTTGTATTCATGTTGTATTTCATGTAAATTCAATACTACCTTATACTAAAATATGTTTGGATATTTACTAACAAATTCTGGCTTCTGGCCCGATTCATCTTTGAATATACATGTACTAGTACGTAATTGAAGGCAAATAAACACGTGAAGCATAAAAAAAAAAAATGTTTCAAGTCGTAGCATAATGTAGGGGACTAAACCATTGTTTACCTTTGAGGGGAATGGGAATTACCGGTACTCGTATTTGAGGGTGTCATAATAAGCAAGGTTCAGTTGAAAACCGTGTTATGCTATGAAAAAAAGTGAAGACGTTGGCGTACTTTATGTACTTTAGTAAAAAGTCATTTTTTGTTTTATTGCCTAACACTTTTAGGTTCAAGTGCTGCAAATTAGAGTGCATATTCCTAAGCAGCTGTCCCTCAGCAAATGATTTGATGCAGGCATTTGCCTATCCTGGCAGTAGGATCTGATGCCGTTCGGTCGGTGAGGGCGCCACTCACGCCTACATGGCAGGCTAGCATTGTCCGTGTCAATTTTAGTACAAAGTAGTACATGTAGTAATAACACCATGAAATTAAGTTTTCCCTTAACTCAGACAAGCTATGCAGTTTCCATGAATCAGATAATCTTCATTTGATCTGATTTTGCTACTAACAACAGTAACAATCTTGTCCGTGTTCAAACACCATCCGTCGTCCTATGATATCGCTAATTCTTCTGGGTTTGATAAGTCAGCAGGTGTGTCAATTCATTCCGAGGTAGTCACTCCAGTACCCAAGCTGTCTTCGTCTGTTTTCTCTGCTTCGCTAACAAAAAATATTTTTTCAGTAGCGAAGTGGAGAAAACAGACAGGGCAGGCGGGTGCTATAGGCAGTATTTGCCCCTCATTTCCTTTATATTATTGGAATAATGCTAGTTAATTTTCATTTAAAACACTTCATTTTTTCAAAATGGAATTATTTTGTCCATGTTTATTTCATTTATGCACGAAATGTGTGATAATGTAGTATTGTGAGGATAATATAGCAGGAAAACATATTATCGGGGGGATGAAGTCAAAAACAAGACTCCGCGTACGGCGAAATTTCGAGAATGGCGTGAAAAGACAAGCGGTGGGCTTCACGAACAGGACTCATCAAACATTATTCACAGACTGAGTCAGAGAGAGATAAGACTATTTACCAGTGAGTCACTAGTGGCACTGGGTAGACCAGCGAGTCGGTGAGATAATATTATCTCCACAGGGCACTGGGCTTACCAGCGATTTTAATAAAATTATGTTTTCGATACTGATAACATTCTTTTAACATAACTGATTTGCAGTGAGCATAACTTAAAATCTTTGTTTTACTGTGTATCTAAATGAGTGGAAATGAATGTATTTCGAATGAAATGAACAAAAGAATCCCGTCCTTACGCCCATAGAGGCAAAGAAGAGCGGACAAGTGTGAAAGGGAAATTAATACCGTATGTACGGATTACAAACTCGTAGTAATCAGATTGGTTGTTTGTCTTATAGCGTAGTATGAAACCAATTTATATAAATTAGGTATTTAGTAAGCACATAATTCGACCCTAAACTAACACCTCTACGTATAATATCGCGGTACTAATCGTTAACATCGCGATACCAATGGTATAACATCCCGACAATCGCATAACATCCAGAAAATAGTACAACATCACGGTACCATACCCATATTTATACCAAAATACCTTTTCTGTCATCGCTTTTTATTTCAAATAAGTTTCACTGAGGAATGTGCGCCCTCTTCTATTCTTGACCATAAATAAGCCCGATATCTAAAATTCCCCCCCCCCCAAAAAAAAAAAAAACTAGACCCATTTCAGGGGCACGTCCCCATTAGGCAAGTTCCATGTATTGCCCCCTCGGGATTCATATACTGAAGTATGCCGTTTTGCCATACATGTATTTCCGTCACGGTCTCACATAAAGTTCAAACAGTTAAAAACATGGAATCGGAATATTTGGTCATTGGTTAAATATTTCCATATATGTATACCAATACATGTACCATATAGTAAATATCGGTTAAATTAATCGCATTTATTTTATCATCACTTGTACGCCACCTGACTATGTAAATAGCACCTCAAAAACATGCGCACCCGATGCCGGGTACTGAACTGCTCAAATCGTCATAAAAAGGCTCTAATCGAATTGCCCGAGTCAAACAACTGCGCCGAAGTGAAAAGGTTGACGCCCGAAAAATAATAACCTGTCAACCGTGTTTTCTCTAAACCACGCTCACTGAATATTAAAAATAAGTTGTCAATTTGAGCAGTTTTAACTTTTCTTTTACCCCCATGGTATAACCAAAAGCACCTTTCTAGTGTCTTTGGTTTAATCTGTATGTTTTTTGTTGGTTTTCTTTGGAGGCATTTGGAACATAATCTACTAACGAAAAATTATTTTGGTCGGTGAAATACATGGGAAATCGTGAATTTAACCGTGCCGTTCAGTCAATTAATTTGTATTGTTGTGAACGCTCACACAAGAGCTGGTTAGATGTACTAGTATATATTAAGCGGGTAACTGATAACGTTTAAAAATGATACAATATTTGGCGCACGGTACAAGCTAACATTGATTTCACTCATTTCTAATATTACGGACTGTGAACATCGAATTGACAGCAAAATATCACGTTTCTGTCTCAAGGTGTTTTTCACTGAGAGAATGTTTTAAACAAATGCTTGGTTTGACGAGAAATCTGCACAGAATAATATAAAACAGGGACAGTTTAATTGTACACAACAAGCAAATATTTCACTCGTAGTTGGGGTAGACTAAAACCAAATAACTCAATTGCAAGTTACACACTAGCATCATTCTCAAATAAGAAATTATGCGAAGGAACTTGGTGTGCACTGATTGTCTACTAGCAATTTCTCTGACTAATTTTCAGTTTAGGTCATCATCATGAGCGTTTTTTTTTCCAGTTTTATCGGGCCACTCTGGTGGCCCGGGAATGAGAAATCATTTTTTTACAATTCATCACGTTTAAAGTTATTTCTTGAAAATAAATTCAAACATAATATATAACAATCGGCTCAATATATGTTTGTACACAACAGAATAAATTAAACACGTTTTGGGTTAAAAATCATGCAAGATCTTTCATACAACATAAATTAAATGTCAAAAGTTCCAGAAAAAAAGTTACATTCAATCAGTGGAGGTGAAAATAAAAAAAAAACAGATTGCACGGCAGCACAAAAGTTAATTGCAAATAATGAAAACGCAATGTGTGTTTCAAGTTATCGCACAGTTAGGAGAGACAAAAATGTCAGATGCAAACAGTATATTGTTATTTCATCGACAATAATTTATTCTCTACATTGTAACGAGCATCGACATAATGCAATTAACATTGTGCTCCACATAATCATTTCCCGTCAAAAAGTGAACGATTTCCGATTTGTTTTAACTGAAAACAATATTATCAGTGAAGTGAAAGTGCTCCCCTCCTTGAAGAATGGTAGAGTCCTGCCTTTTTGTGTCAGCCTTCACTTAGTCACGTGACCTTGTTGCTGTCGGCCATTTCTGTTGTCCCTGTATATCGACCTGGAATTGGGGAACGAACAATTTCCAGGTTTTATTTCCAATTTTACACACGGACAATCGCTTTCAGCGGGAATTTCGAAGCATGGGGAACTGTCATACAGTCGGTCCCAATGAGGCGCTGGTGGTATCTGGTAAGTGCCCTCCGTGACCTCGGATTTTAGTTGAAAATTGAACATATTTTAGTTAATGGTTGACAGGCTTGGCGAAGAAGCGTGAATGTGTTTTTCGTAGTACGATCGCATAGTTATCATACGTATACGTTGGTAGATTATGAGTGGGCGTTTAATGTGATGGTGGAAATTAAAAAAAAATATCTGTGTCCAGCATTGATAGCTGCCCAGATCGTTTTTGTTTGGATGTATGCAATCTTAGCGTTACTCGGAACGGCGTATCAGTCAGTTGACACATTCTAATAGTGAAGTCACATTCGCGGCTTATTTCTCTTTGAATGGTTAAAAAAAGATAAAAATATGCACTGTGACACAATAGAATTATTAATTTCATTAGAGTGATTAGCAAGTTTGTTTTAAAAAAACACATTTGTGGTGATCTTAAATACGTTTCGAGAACTCGATAACTAGCTTAGTCAGTTGGGTGTGGAAAGGACTCGTGTAAAAGATGTCGCATTCTTTCTTGAACGGGACGCATTATTATAAAACGAGCTGACCGAGTCGTGTTTACATCTACTGAATGATCTAGTAGGTCACGTACATATTTTTTGATAAATTTCGCCTCATTCTATATGAACTTCATGAAATCAATGTGAAAGCATGAATAATAAAGAAAATGTTCAAGGCAAACTAATCGTTTGTATCGAGACGCATGTCTTAGCTTCTTAAGGCTTCATGCTATGACCTAGATTTTGATAAATTGCTGAACAAAGTGTAACAAATTCTATTTTATTTTTCGTGATTGTGGATAGATTTCCCAATGATTCATAGGGCTAAGGTAATTGATTTTGCTGAACCATAATTTAGAAATCATGGAAAAGTACTATTGCTTGAAGGATGTGAATCCATCATCACTTTTGCCTCCTTCGTTTGAAATATGTAATTATAAAATATTTAAATATCAATTGTTAAGAACAGTCTGCTGTACTGTTCACAGCTATGATTATTGTATTTTGATGAATACAATATGATAAATGATTTAAATGAATATGTCGCCAATATTGTCCAGATTTACATTTTCAGCACTGACTGATTAATGGGCAAATAGATTTTCTTAGGTAAAAAATGAAACGTCTTGACTTATTCAGCAAGTGACAGACATTATTGATACCTCCCTAAATCTGTATCTTGTGGAATAGTGTTTAGCAATTTTGTTTATACCATTGATGCCATGTGTAATATGTTAAATTTGTTGCTGCTCAAATTTTTTATTTGAGTCTATTGAAGAGGGACTAAATTTAACAAAAACTAGATGTAACTTCCTCCCTAAAAAGTTCCAGGTTATTTTCCCTGACTAAACTTCATGAAAATCTGCCTCTTATAAAATGTATGAAATAAAATTATGTTGTTGGCAGGTTCATTTTGGTATTTATTCGTGTGTGTGTCATGTTGCATATACTTGTTACCAACATCAGAAATGAGTGGACCCATTCCATTTTCGCTATTTTAGTTTTAACAATATCTTGGAAATTTAATTCATTTATTTTTAATTGGCGTTTTGCTTTTATTTTAGGGAAATTGCAATTTTTTTTAAAATTAAAAAAATCTTGGTGTAAAAACTTTCACCTGTCTTTGGACTGGTGTTCTTACTTACTGTTAGTGATTTTGATACCCCCTCCCTTCCTGTAGCCTTTTTTGATTTAAAACAATCCCTGTGTTTTGTGTACACATGTATCCACATTATAATAGGGACACTGTGACCTTAATATGTTGAGCGTGGTTGCCAACCATGCCAACAACACACCTTCTTTGACTCACAGTCATGTGACACTAGTCATGTGTGCGCTAAATATAGTACACCTCATGCCCTATATATCTTCTGCAGGGGAACAGAATGAAAAAAAAAACATGTCATATCAGCTCAGTAACATGCATGATTGTTAGATATGATAACACTTTATATTATAGTATTAAGTTTCACAATTATTAAAAAAAAATGTCATTTGTAATTTCTTTTTGTTTGCTCAATCACTCAAAGAGTTTGTGTTCATTGCTATTGCTATTGGCCATGAAATAGTTGCCAGGCAGTGAGTATGCAAATTAATAAATGAATATTATGCAATATAAGTAAATTATTAAACATACATTGTAATTTAAAATCTGTTAATTATTAACCATTTAAGTTAAAGATTATTTTTATAAGTGGTTGGGTTGTGAGGTGATGTTCGTTTCTTTTTGATCGTGGCTGTGTTCGTACACAATGTGTTGCAGCTGTGATTGCTGTAATTGCGATTGCTGTTGTTTCAAGATTTCTGGCCCTAATGAAGCTTTAGTTATTGCAGGTAAATGCCTATTTTGGTCAATGGTCGATTGTCTTGTGTATTAAGTGTGTTGGTGTGTGTTTAGAGTATGTCTGTGGTTGGTTGTATCCCTGGTATCTAATGGGCACCTTTGTGTGGGAATATCTGTTGATTTGCCATGAGAAGATCATGTACAATAAACACAAGTTTTATAGAAGGGCGTATCTATGTAGATAGAATGTTAAACTGAGACTTGACCTTTGTTCGCTATCAGTTTCTTTCTAACTGGAGCAGTGTTCTTAATGTTATTTCACTTATTATACAGAGGTCAATGCACTGGGACCAGTGTGTTGCATATCTGTATGTACGTGGTTCTGCTTCCATGTACATGTACACTTTGTATGGCTTCCCTGAGTACCAAAGATCAAGTCTTGTGTGTGTGTTTGTGTGTAATATTTACTTGAATTGTTTTTATCGTAATATTATTTTGAGAATTTTCTGGTACTGTGTCATACCATACCATACCATACCATACCATACAAGTCTAGTAATAGTATAAAGCTGTTGTTAATAGCACTAAACGTTTACATGTTCTCTGCTGTGTTGAGATTATATCTGACTTTTCCTGGCACCATGCTGCTCTCAAGGAATAACAGCTATTCTTACCCAGGGAGTGTAATGTAGCAGTGTTGTAATAGTTTGCATTGCTTATAAGGTCCCTTATTGAAGACATAAATTGTAATCCTACCAATTTTTATTTCATCCCTCTAATCTAGTTTTTTTTGGGTTTCAATTCCTTTGCATCAATGCGTAATTTCTTTTCGCTTTTTTTGATGCCTGGATTTGATAGGGCTAAAGAGGTCAAAGGACACACTTAAGATTTGTACATGCAGCAATATAAGATTCATTTCTGTCACCATGGCGTTGATGGAATTTGGATAAAAATAGGTAGAAATTATTTGCATCTAATCATGTGTAACGGTAATAAATTTCTCATTGATATTTGTGTAATATATTTCGCCAAATATTAAAAATTAAAATGTGTAAACAAGGCTTAGAATAGAATAAATTGTGAAAAATGTGTATCATGCAAAGCAGATTGTTTTCATACTTTTACCAATACTTTCACTATAGCTTTATGTTGCATGTCTCGAACTTAACTATTTTTGAAGGTCCCAAATTTCAAGGCAAAAATTACTGTTTTTTTTTTACCAACATTTAATTTGACTATTAAGTATGTTGCACTGTGTTTTCAATTTCACAAATTTGTCAAGGAAAGTTTTATAGTTATATTACTTGTTCACATAGCTCAATTTAGCAGATTTTACTTATCAGCAAAAATAGCAAAATTATAACCCAATGAATAATTAATGCATTTACAGTAAGTCATTTAAAAATGTGTATAACATATGTTAATAGACAAAACTTGCTAATGAAACAGTTCATTTTATTCTTGCATAAATCATTTTGATTATTGATCTAAAATTGTGAATGCCTACCTAATTTTAATTTTTCTCATATGAATCATTAACAATATATACCGGTACACACAATAGATAAAAAAAACATCTTTCATGATCTGATTTTCTTTTGAGGAAAGTTTACAGAGATATTGAAAAAATGTTTCAAGGTAACTGTTCATTTTTTTGGATTTATAAGTTCCGAGATTGTAACTCAAGAACGTCATACCGGTACTGGTAAGACTGGTTTGTCTGAGGGCTAAAGTGTATGTTTCATTGTCCAAATCATACCATCTAATAATTTAATTGCTTTGCTATATTAATTTATTTATTGCACTAATGTAATTGGTGTAGCTGTATGTTCTTCATCATAAATTTCTTGTGTCACTGGATTTCATGCAGAATTGTCCAAGGAAATTATGACTTATTTTAAGTCGTTTATGTTTACCATAATTAGCTGCAGGCAATGGATTATATTCCCATCTCCGCAGATAATGAACAACCATATTATGATGACAAACGAGCTTTATAATCAGCACAGGGACTATCCTGTTGCAATTTAAACTAGTAGTTATTTTTAAAACAAGCTGCTAAATAGATTTAGTTTTATAGCCCCTGGCTTGACACTATAAATTGAGATCTTCCACTGTAGTTTCTGTATTCTGACGAAAACAATGCTGTGATTGGTGTTCTTCCAGGTTACGTTGAAGGTGTGTTGTTTGTGATCTTCCAGTACCATGTGGAATACGAAAACAGCATTTTTTTGCTTGTCAGTATCTGAGCTATAAGCTTGCAAGTGTCTGTTGTAGACATGTGAATGGGATTAAGTATTTATAACATGCAAATTTCTTAAGTCTAGAAAAATGATGGATTGCTGAAAGAACACTGAATAAAAATACAGCACTGTGCTGTACATTTGTACTCGTACATGTGTATGTTAATTTGTTTTACATGTCCAGCATATGCTTTGTGTTGATATTAATTATTTTTACTGGATATTTATTGTAATTTGCAAGGAAATTTGTTGAAATTCGTTTGAGCTTTTGAATTGTACTACTTCTAAAAATATACTCATGTGCTTGCAAAATGCAAACAATGTTCAGTATTTGGACTGAATGAAAGCTTAATTTTTTATGCGACTGCCTATAAACACTGATTCATAGATTGATTTCTTATCTTCTTGAGGTGCTAGAATCGCAGGGTTGTCTTTAGAATATTGCAGGAAGTTATATTTTGTTAATTTTACTTTATTTTATGTTCT